TGCTGTGCATATCCCTTAACCACTAATCTGGCCTTGTATTTGTTTACTGAACCATCAGGATTAAATTTTGTTCTGAAAACCCACTTAACCCCAATCACATTTTTACCTTCTGGTCTAAGACAAAGTGACCAAGTTTTGTTCTTTTCAATCATAGCCAACTCTTTTTTCATAGCAGCCATCCATTCATCATGTTTTGAAGCCTCAAAAAAACAAGTTGGATTAGAAGTAGCCAAATTGCACCTAGCATACACATCCTCATGTGACTTTACCTTCAAAGGTGGTGAGTCATCATCAGTTTCAACAACATTTTGGAGTCTAGAAGTAGCAGCTGAACTTTGTTCAACATTAAAGTCTTCATTTAACTAAGAAGAAGACTCTTTAATAATTTTCTAATCATCCTAGCTCAAAAAAGCAAATTCATCAACTAAAACATCTCTATGCACTTCCACTTTTTGAGACTGCAAATTATAAATTATGTACCCCTTTGACTATGCTGCATAACCAACTAGAATTCCCATCTCAGCTTTCCCATCCAACTTGGTTCTTCTAGTTGCTGGAACATGCATATAACATATGGAACCAAAAACCTTCAAATGATAAGTTGAAGGCTTAAGTCCAATCCAAACCTCAATAGGAGTTTTACCTTCAATAGCTCTAGTTGGAAGACCATTTAGCAAATAAACAACAGTATGCACTGCCTCTGCCCAAAACTTCTTAGGCAAATTCTTCTCAAAAAGCATGCTTCTAGCCATTTCCATCACTGTTCTATTTTTTCTCTCAAAAGAACCATTTTGCTGTGGTGTATACTTCACTATTAATTGATGATTTATATCATGTTCTTCACAAAAAAACATCAAACTCCTTGGAACTATATTCCTTTCCATTGTCTAACCTCAAGATTCTAAGTTGGCAGCCACTTTGCTTCTCTACCAACACTTTAAACCTTTTAAAAACAGAGAATACTTGTGACTTGCCAGACAAAAAATACACCCAGGTCATTCTAGTCAAATCATCAATAAAGAAGAGAAAATATTGGTTTTGATTGAGAGAAAGTGTGTTCATAGGACCACACAAATCCGTATGCACCAATTCAAGTTTCTGGCTTGCTTTCCATGCCTTAGTTATGGGAAAAGCTGTTCTATGAATTTTTCCAAGTTAACAGCTCTTACATACATCATTATTGACATAAATTTGTGGCAAATCTCTTACAAGTTGAGAAGATTGTAAAAACTTCAAAGTTACAACATTGCAGTGACCATATCTCATATGCCACAAGGTAGTCTCATCTTCTTTAGAAATCAAAACATGCTGCTTAACACCACTCTACACTAGAGGGAAGCTATTATCGACCATTTTCACATTAGCAACCTCATAACCATGCAAATAAAAAATCTGACATACATCTTGTTTAAAATGTACAGAATATCCATGCTTCATTAATTATGCAACACTCAGCAAGTTTTGACTCAAACTAGGAATGTACAAAACATCAATGATAGTTTTAATACCTTCCTTAGTTTGAATTGAGACATTACCCTTGCCCTCTGCTTGCACTACATAACCATTGCCAAGTCTGACTCTTGTTTGAATAGACCTATCCAGCTTTGTAAACAGCTTCACATCTCTGACCATATGATTTGTACAACCACTATCAACATACCATGAATCCTCTGAAGTCACAAAACAACTGTGCATAGCCACAAACATATAATCTTCCTCATTCTGATCTCCTATGAAATTAGCCTGCTGCACTTGTTTAGGCCTATACTGCACTTGATCAGCTTTGCAAAATTTTTCTGTATGGCCATGTTTCTTGCAATTCTTACAATAAAACCGTGGCTTTCCTTTGTGCCAATAGTCTTTTTCAAGATGATTTATCCTTCTGCAGTTTGGACAAGGAGGAAATTTGTCTCTCTTGTCAAAATTTCTAGAACATTCAGCTTGCTGTTTGCCTTTCTCCAAATTGTTAGCTTCCTACTGCCAATCTATTCTTGCAACTAAATACTTTCCCTTGTGTTTAGCATGAAATGCTCCTTCAACACTTTCGTAAAATCTCATTGCAAGTCTTTTTTCATGAGCTTGCAATTTTCCAGTGAGTGCTTTAATGGAAAGCCTACTCAAGTCACAAGACTCTTCAATTGCAACAACTTTAGGTTCAAATCTATCAGGAAGACTAACCAACATCTTATCGACCACTCGTGAATCAAGAAATGTCTCTCCTTGCATTCGAATTTGAGTGACCAAATCAACTAATTTTGAAGAATACTAACGTATTGTATTAGTTTCCTTCATCTTCAACATTTCGAACTCTTGTTTGAGAGCTAACAGTGTCACACTTTTATCTCCAGCACTCCCCTCATACTCTTCTTTAAGTGCTTCCCAGACTTCTTGTGCATTCTGGCAAGATGCAACTTTGGGGAAAATATCATTTGCCACTGCATTATGCAGAAAAGAAAGTGCTCTATCTGTACCTACATTATACTTTGTGTTTCTCTTCATTTGTGCCACTGTTGGGTTTTCCTGTGGAAAAGGAAGTTGGAAACCATGCTCGATGACTTCCCATACATCATTCCCTTTGAGGAAGGCTTTCATTCTAATAGCCCAGAAATCATAATTCTCTCCATTGAACATTGGAAGAGAAGAAAATGAATTTGTTGAAGAAGAAGACATTCTGAAATGCTGTAGAAGAGCAAGATTCTCTCCCTCACTTGTCACTCATATTTCACTCTCTCACACCTCTCTAAGATTTCTCACAGATCCCTTAAGAACTATAAGCTCTGATACCAATTTGATGATGTAAAGATGAAAACTCAAGTGAAAAACAACATAAAGTGAACATAAACTCAAGGATTAACTTGAGAAATTATAAAATACATAAAACACTGTTGAAATACATGAATAGTATCTGATATATTTTCAGAAAATAGCAATGGACATACACATACAAGTTTCAAAGAAAAAGAAAGTTATACATAACAGTTGCTGAAATGAAAAGAAGTTACAAACTGAAAAGAAACTGTTACAACACTAAGTAAAATAAACTAAATGTAATTGCCACATTAAAGACTTGATCTCACACGCTAACATTGAGATAGCCTTAACATGGAGGCATGTCAGGTGGTGGTGGCAACATTTTGGCCTCCGGAGATTCGCCATCTTTAACTATGAACACCGTATCCATGCCCCATACCATGTGATGATCGAAATGGCAATGCATGTACCATACTCCTATTCAAGAAGAACAAAGAGACAGAAAAACAGAAAAAGAAGTCAATGATAATAACAACCATAACAATTTTGAAATGTCAGTCCAAAATGCTTTAATTAATTCCTAATTTTGAAGGGTGACACCACCAATTAAAGCTCAAACATTTGCAATAATTGAAAGTGTGTAATGGGTTGGAGAACCCCTTGAACAAGCAATAAAACGAATTTACTGTTTTGCTGTTTAATTTTTGTTTCTTCTTTTTTTGCACCAAATGGAAGAAATTAAATAAACATAAAATGCAAGAACCGTATATCCGAAGAAATCTATGAATTAACAGCTTGTATTACATGTTTCAATAAACTTTATTTTGAAGATAAAACTTATACGTACCAGGATTTGTAGCCTTGAATCTTATGGCCACCCACCCTATTTTGGGAACATGAATGGTGTTTTGAACAGGAGGGTCCACCAGATTGTACATTAAGGGGTCCTTGTCCTTATCGAAATTCCCCATACCCAATCCCACAACATAAAAATGATATCCATGAAGATGCATCGGATGGTCACTACCTCTTAGCAAGTTTGTCCCCTGGAAAACAAGCTCCACGGTGGAATTGTAATCTAGCATCTTCACTTCCGTCCCTAGTTGCGGAATCTCCCAGTCCATCGGATAAACTTCGGCGGCGAAGTCAAACCATAATTGAGGAAAATCAGGAAAATTGGCCCCATACACACCATGAATGCAGCAATAGTAAGCTTGTAATATATCAATACTCGGATTGATGAAGCTTATGTTGTTTACACTGGCTAAGGTTCTTATCTTCCCATCTGCACATAAGATTTTTTCATATAAGCTAAACAAAATAAACTTTTTTTTGTTTGATTTTGAATTGTTTAATAAAAAAATAACCCTCTTTTATTCTTTAACTCACCACATCCATATATCATATGATTCAAATTCAAAATTTCTAGCTCTAGTGGGAAAAGAAATTACCACTAAGCAACTAAATAATTTTTAGTATAATTAAATATAGTCTTTTAGATCTAAACTTTTAGTATAACCATATATCTTTTAGGCTCAAACTTTCATCCTTAATCTTTAAAATTAGGTAATTGGTTCCTTAACCTTTTAATAGTTACCCCTATTTCGTTTGAGG